CATCCATCCATCCATCCATCCTTCATCCATCCATCCATCCATCCATCATCCATCCATCCATCCATCATCCATCCATCCATCCATGTACATTATAAGCTCTTATTTCTGTCCTCTGACCTTGCTCCTTCCTTCCTTCCTTCCTTCCTTCCTTCCTTCCTTCCTTCCTTCCTTCCTTATTTCATTGGTTTGTTCCTTCTTACCTTTGTTCCTATATTTGTTCCTTCCTGTTTTCCTTCCTTTGAACTCCATACTCGCTGAAATATGCTATAACAAAAATACAAATCTGGACATTTGAATTTTACTTCTGGTCAAGAAGAAAAAAATTAATAATAGTTGAATCAGTCTGCAGCATCTGGATTTTTTACATGAAAATATCTTGCTTTAGTTGAAGCACTGTTTTAAGCCTTACAGTAAAAAAAAAATAAACATAAACCATATAGTTTTTACAGGTTGGACAAAATCCAGGATCTACTCCCATAACCTCAGGGGGATTTAAGTTATGAGAAATTGTGCTTTTTTTCTTCAATAATAATTACATTTCACAGCTAAATTATTACTACAAATGCACAGCACATCCCAGATTTTTATTTCCTCATACACTACAATGAATGCTCTACTTTGTGCTGTTCAGATAAAAATAAATACATTGTGGTTTGTGGCTGTAATAATCCCAAAATGTGAAAATTTAGAGGAAAAAATATGCAAATGAGTTTGTTCTGGGCTATATAACCTTTACCACATAATTCTCCTTCCTGGAATTTGATGAATCTGTGAGTATGGGCCCATATGCTCTTTTTTTTCAGGCCTTTGTGGGATGTTAGCCCACATGATGTTCACCACCATATTCCATCTCGCTGTCGCTATCGGACCTGAAGACTGGAGGCCCAAGACTTGGGACTACAGCTGGTCTTATGCGTAAGCAAATCCTAAATCTTTCAAAGAAAACATTTTGGTTACTTAATGCAACCAGAATATATTATTTTATAAAGACAAAAACAGTAACACCGGAGTGTTAGTTTTGTTATTACAATTGAAATAAAACAGAACTTTACTTTAGAAGCTGAACCTGATAAGGACTAAAATTTTTATTCCAAAACAATATATTAAATTATAAATAATTTATTTTAACTCTAAATAATTATTCATGCTGGTCTAACTCCTAATGTGTAGTCCTTTGTCTTTCTTCTTCCAGCTTAGCCTGGTGCTCTTTTGGCACCTGCATGGGCTCTGCAGTGACAACCCTGAACAGGTACACAAAGACCATCATAGAGTTTAAATACAAGAGGCACAGCATTGAGAAGAACCTGATGATCAAGCAGAAGATGGTGGAGCTGGGTCTGCCTGAGCAGATGTGGGACATGTACTTGACTGCTGTTCCGGGTGAGGCGGAGGTACCACCAGAACCCTTGGTAAACGGCCACAAGCCTTCGACGGGAACGCCGTATGTGTTTGAAGAAATGGATCAACCACCAGAACAACAAGTGGAGGCATACTGTTAAAAACACTGCATGAAAAAGAAAGAGGATATTGACTCTTTTTGTTCTCTGCTTCAAAGCTCATTTGTATCTGCAAGATTACAACTAAGACAGAACATGAACTTGAGTGGAATTTGCAGGTTTTTGTCCAAGATGCATTAAAACTGTAATTTGCTGCAGATGCACTGGGATGAACAGCGGTTCTAAGATTTATGAACTAAACAATCTGTGGTGTGTCAAGGTTGCATCGCTGAAATGGAGCAGGACACAAATAAGCAAAACTGTCTCTACAGCATTTCCTGAATGCTGATGGAGTTAAATGGCTGGAAACAGGCACAAAGATGGATACACTGACCTCAAACTATTTTATTTTTCTTATTTTTCTTTTTCTT